TTTAAGACTGCATTACCTTTTAATCAGGAAGAATAGGAAATTAATTTTACATTTGTGCTTACTACTGTACCTAATAGGTTACAGGGAATTAACTTTTTACTTCTGTTAAGGAATCAGACAGACCTTCATAACGGAAATTTAACTGAAACTAAAACTTATCCTGTACTCATAACTATTTTTCCCTTTCAGAATGTGTATTTTCATAAAATTTGAACACTGAAAAATACTGTGCCCTGTTTTAGTTTAGCTGTTATTCTGTAGCTATTTAAATAATCACATGTATGCAATTGCAACTTTTTTTTTGTATGTTTTTGATATTAAAATTCAAAAAAAAAAAGATTTCATGTGTTTGTTCGTGCTTGCATGCAAGTGACATGGGGTGGTTTTTTTCTTTATTATTTGATTAATGAGTATTTTTTGGAGAAGAAGTATCTCTTCTTTTTCACTTTGGAGTGAATCAGTTTCCTGCTGCCTGTAAATGCTATTAGAACTATCACCATAGCAACTAATGGTGATGCCTGAAAGGAGTGTTCCCAAAGTTTCAGGAAAAAAAAAAAAAAAAAAAAAAAAAAAAAGATCATTAGAATCCCTTAGAAAGGAGTTTTGTTTATGTAGATGGAGATAATAAGTGTAAAATAATCAGTGCTCTAATGCTAGTGCCAGCAGGTGTAAAGGCATGATGTGATCATTTTTTACAGTCATCTTAATATTATTGCACTCTTGAATTGATGGGAGAGAGTTTTGTAAGACAGATTTCTTTTTATTTCAGGACTGTCTAAAGTAGCTCAAAAAGGAAGCAGGTTTTGTTGGTGGTGGTGGTTTTTTTTCAGCTCTGTGTTATTAAGAATTATAATCACTATCACAAACATTGAGTTTTAACTCACTTTAAAAGAGAAAATAAAATATATCAAGGTCTGTTTTGTCTGTGTATATAGCTCTGATTTGAATGGTTTTGAACATCTTACATAGTTGATTGCACATGTCAAGAACTGCTCACGGTGTCACTGGTATATACAGTTCCACCTCCTAATTACTTTGTCCATTATGTATATTATATATATATATATACTTTTATACATATATAGCCTGTATTTAACAAGAGAACCAGTAGTAAGACTGTTCTCAAATAAGTCCTTCTGGGTGAATGTCATAAATGGAACACATGGACATAGTTTTGTTTAATCCTTCACAAACTGTTGTAGAATAGAACAATTGGTCTTCATTGCAGTCAGAGTTCAGAGTCTCTAACATCTTAGAGGATTTAACAAATAGCCCAAATATGAGTATTTATTGCATCCATCTTACAGAAAATGAAAAAAAATACATGTAATCAAAAAGGAGCACTATTATTTCTGGAGAGGCCAGGATTTCAAAGAGAAAAAATTCTCTTGCTGTAGAGAAAGTGATGTAATTGCTTAGTGATAAAGAGGTATTCTGCCTTAATTTGAAAGGACCTGCCTAATGAGCCATGCTTAGTTCCCTTAGACAAATTTATTACTCTCACTTAACAGGGACATCATTATTAAATAGACAAGCAGGAGTCATACCATACTGTCAGCAGAGATGCTGGATTACCCTGAAGCTGGGTATAAGCCAAAGACTTTTCTCACCACTCGTCCTTCAGCAGGGCTACTTTCCTTCCAGTAGGAAATTAGCATAATGCTACAAGCCTTCTGACTGTTCATCTTCAGAAAGTCTGTATTAATTCACATTGAGAACATCAGGGGTAAATGGTACAGTTGATCACTACCAGTATGAAAAATGGCCCAAAAATAAGATGAAATTAGCTATTGACTATAATTGACTTGTGAGTAATAATAAAAATGCAGGGTCAAAATACAGAGTTGTAACCACATTTAAACAGAGCAGAACATTATTTTATATTTTAAATGAAGTAAATATTCTGTAAAAGTCAATTAGTAATGATTTCTTCTTAATCCAAGCCTATTTTTAAGATTCCTGACAGGTTCATCTTAAACTTCCAGGGAGATTTGGGTAATTCTCAGTTGGATTCCTGAGACAGAATTTCACTTTGATTTCCAACTTTTTCTAGGATTTTTGAATAGCTGTCTTTTAAGTTTGTGTACTTATTTTTTCCTACATTTATCTATATTATAAGTAAAAACAGGGTTAAATCTGTGAATTGGTATGTAGGCTTCACTTTTTACATGCCTGAGCACAAATAAAAACCTGAAGAAAAGTCTTGTAGCAAAAAGGAGCAGAAGCACTAAAGAGAGCCTTGCAGGGATATCAAATTCTTTTTACAAATAGGAGAAAATTCTACTAACGAGGAAGCTACTATCTCATACATATGGAGACGTCATTGTAAGTGAAAATATACCATTCACATATATTTGACTGGATTTTGTTTTTACTGTTACCATTTTTACCACATCATTACCATGTCCATGGCATGGATATCAAAATCACAAGTACATACTGATCATAAGAACTAATTAAATATATATATATATTTTGGTTTGATAAATTGTCATTCATTTTTGTTTGTTTGTTTGCTCTTCAATCCAAATAAGAAAAGATAAATTCCCATAAACTTTATTATTATTTTTGTATGTTATTTTCTGGTATGAAGAAATGCTCTTTTTTTATTGTATTTTTCTTTTTTTAAATATCTTTGCTTTTCTCTGTTTTGTTAGTATGTACATTGTGCGTGTAATTTGTCACAGTCTGTAGTGGTTGAAATACTTTAATATTTTTTGTAAACCACTGAGAAGAAGTCCTACCTTGTACTGATTAGATCTTCTCTAAGTGCAATATTGGACTCAATGATCTCTGGAGATCCCTTCCAACCCCTACAATTCTGTGATTCTGTGTGATTCTGTGAATATGTTCTCATGTTAATGTGTAAATAGCAAAAGCATGGTTTAATATTCCAGATCCACTTTATCTCCTTTCTCCCTCCAATCACTAGGATTAATGAAATACTCAGCAGGATCTACTACAATTTTTGCTAAAAAATATTGGTAATAAAATGCATAGGCTTTTATTTAATCACTTCAAAAGACTGTTCCAAGATTCTTGCACTTTCAAACACATTTTAACAGAGGTCAGTCTCAATACAACTTTTAACACTTTCATTTTCACAATTTATAGAAGAGCACAACCCTTTTACATAGCCAGGATGTTCTTAGTAGGAAGAAAACACACACACACACACACACACACACACACACACACAAAAAAAAAAAAAAAAAAAAAAAAAAAAAAAAATCCAGTAAAAATCTGAAAGTCTAACAATATAATTTAAAAGAGTCTAACCTTAACTGTGCCCAGCAAAGCAGAGACATAGAAATATGCATTCTGGAACCAGGCACTGTAATTCCTCCCATTTAAAATCAGGGTTTGTTGCTTCAGTTGCTCGAAGTGACTGCAAATCTTGTAATCCCACATAATGCTGTAGCATTGTTTTGAAAAATGAACAATTGTGCTATTATTCATATTTTTTTCTGTATTGCCTCTTGTCAAGAATAAGTGGAGATGAATTCAAAATATTTCTAGTTTTGTCTGAAATTGCAAGTATGAAGAATTAAATTATTCCCTGGAAACAACATGTGCCTACACACTACTTTTGTAAAACTACATCCTGAATAGGTCTATTTGATTATGAACCAATAAGTGTATCAGTCAGGTGTAGTTCTGGGACCCTGATGAATTTAAGACTCCACTAAAAACCTATTAGCTGAGAAGTGCTGCTACACTGTATGAAGTAGCTGTGATTGGAAAAGAGAGGCTGTATTGTCTTCACAGCTGTTTTTTTCTAGACACTAAAACTATTTTGAGCCATGAGCACCCAGGAATGGATTCTGTCCTACTTTCTGAGTAAGTCTATCACTTGAATGAAAAGGGGGAAAGTAGTGTTCATTCCACTATTGCCTTCATCCCTTCTCAAGATTAATAGTTTATCATAGAGATTCCTGTTTTGTACATTTCCATTCTCTGCCAGCTTGAGGTTCCTGGTAGTCTGCCCCAGGTTGGCTTGAACAATATAAGGCTTGTATTACTAGTTATGGTCCCCCTTTGGTCTGTTCAGGTTGTGATAACCAGATGGCGATACTATCCTGGGAATCTTTTGCTGATCTCAGTTATGACCTCTGAAACAGGATAACATGTAGAAATTTCACCTAAGCTACATGTACCCAAATTTTCCAAACTGTTTTCAAGGACAGCTGGTGAGCCTGTGCTTTGTGGCAGCTGCTTTGCTGTAGTAGGAACAATATTAATTAAAACATTTTCTGCAAGGACATTTTTCACAAGGACGTGCTAGAATTTTAGCATATAAAGTATCCTCTACTCTTTCAGAAAGAAAAAAAAAAAAAAATCTTTGAAAAACATTTAAGTGATAGATTTCCTGATTAACTTGATTATTCTTTGATTTGCTAGCAATCATTAAATGTTATATATTTCTGCAATCAGACGTTCCCTGTATGTTGTCGCATTGAAAGTAAAGCCAAAAGCATCTTCCTTCTCCAGGTCCAAAGCCAGCAAACTAATCACTGGTCGCCAACACAGTCTCTGCTGGTAATATATAGATGTACACAGATTTTACGGTGGATATTTAAGCCGTCAGAAATATGGGCTTATTTTATCTAGCATCCATAGGCAAAGAAGAACAGATGGGCTTTTTAGATACTTAAATAAATCTGTTGCTTCCTTTGGCCAGCCTTTCAAACTAGAATGGGAGAGTCACACAGACCAGAGAGACTTAGCTTTTTGTTCTCACATGAATAGAAAGTGGCTGCCTTTTGTATTACTTACTCAATTTAAAGACATTTAGCTGATCACATTTTTCACTATTTGTTAAAAATAGTGAAATTTATGCCAGATATACTATGTTGTTCTGTACCACCCTGAATATCAGAATCCTATTTAAAATTATTTGAGATGTCCATGTTTAGGCTAGATTTGGGGCATATTTGCAACAACAACAAAAAAAAATGTAATGATGTATGCCAGATTATATAACTTCAGGTTTTCATCAGGACAGTGATCTACTGGACCGGCGGAAACATTGTTTTGGTGTCCAATCTGAATCTGGAGAAGATCTTTACTTTTCCGTGGAATTAGAGTCTGACCTAGCACTATGGGAAAAAGCATTCCAGACAGCAACTTTTTTAGAAGTTGAACGGATACAGGTGAGAACAACTGCCTTGTTGATTGCCTTTTGGTACATTAACGGATTATGACAAAATAAAGACTTAAATGAAGATATTCTCTGTCCTTATGGAACTCTCAAATCATTATTATTGGAGAAAGATATGAAAAAAAAAAAAAAAAGGGAGAAAAAAGACATAAAAATTATGATTAAAAAGTTATCATCCTAATGGATGTTTTAATGTTCCAAGCCTTAAAAATAATGTGGATGAAACAGTTTTAATTGAAGTTGCTTTGAAATCTGTACACACTCCTACAAAATTACTAGTGTATAACCCTGTTAAAATATTGGCTAGTACTTTGCATGCCATCATTTTCTGCATCCTCATGTTAACACAAGCTCTGATGGTTGTTTGTTTTTTTTATTTATCTTTATTTAGACAAATTGTTAGCTACATAGATATCTATATATGTATATACATAGATGGCCTTCTTCTGACCTATAAACCAGTATTGAAGATTGACTGAGCACTAGCTAATGCACTAATGGTGATCCATTTTGTAAATGATGCATTACTCTCAGTTTTAATGCTTATTATCTTTGTTGGAGGAGGAGTTTGAGAAGGTTCCATTTGTATCTTTTAAGTTGATGCGCTCTGCTAGCATTTACAGGAGCTACTCTTACCTTTTGAGCTCTGGGTATTGTGCTAAAGAATACTAATGTAGTTTTTCTAAATAAAATTTTCAATAGCATATACCTCTGCTACTAAATATTTAAGATGCTTTGTGTTTCCTGTACAACTATCTGTAATGTTGCAGGATCCATAAAAGAAGATATGGCAATTTTATAAAATAACCTTTAACCCTGAATTCACTTCATATTTGTTTGTCTCTGATACTGAATTGTTCTGTAGCATTCCTAGCTCAGTTTTTTCTTTCGAGTATGAGAACTTCACTTATTCAAAATTACTCCTGTCTCCAAAAAAAAAGAGATTCTCTAAAAAAAGTGTCCTCAGATTTTTAACTTGTTGCACTGTTGATGTTCAGAGTAGCAGTGAAGAGGTCAACGTAGTTATTTCCTGAGCCTATGTGATTACAGCACATTTGGAAAAGTGGACAAACAACCATTTTGTGATAGATTATTATTGTGGAACATGCACTTATAATTTCACCTCTCTTTCTTGCCTCTCTTTCTGTTACTTTGTTTCAGTTTGGAAATGAAACAAAACAAAATGTTCATTTTTTTTCATAATATAACTGGCCTTGGTTCCCCTATTTTCTTTCAGCAATCTGTTGCTGCTTTTATCCATCAATTTCCAGATGAATATGAAGCCTGGTTGGAATAGATAGTGACGTAATTTGTCTCTAAAAAACTCTTTCATTGCTCTGAGAGAAAAAAAGGGAGCAAGTTCAAAATCAAGACATCAACTGTAAATGTTCCCTAAAATTCTGTTTTATGCAGTTATATTCATATAAATATTCATATTTCATGTGAATGCTAGTCCAGCTGTATGCAGGTTTGTTATATTATGAAATCGTATAATTTTGAGAATGTAACCACTGTTTAAAACAACCTTTTAAAATTATCCAGATGTTTTGCATATTGTGCAATAATCATGGAAATAATAACAGTGTTTCTCAACTAATATAAGTTAGCATTAACCCCTACTGAGTTTGAATGAGATACAAATTTTATATATGTCTAAAGAATATATAACAAATGCAAATATTTTAAAAATGCCTCACTACAAATATGTGTAAGTTCGATTTAAGCCTAATTGATAGCTTTTGCCAAGTATCTATGTAAAACAAAAATTAGGCAGGCAGATGCATTGTCTTTTTTTTTTTTTTTTTTTTTTCAGAAAGAATCAAGCTGAAAATAATTTGGCCATAGTAAAAGAGATGATACTGTAGTGTGTGTTATCATTATATGTTGTGGTCACTCTTTAGTTAGTTTTATTTAGAATAGCAAAAGTAACTGATGGTGTTTTATGATTAACTATTAAAACAATTAAGAAAGAAGTTAAAATGGAGATCCTTTTTCCTCACTATCTCACAGCTTTGTGAAGAATCATGAAATGGAAATATATAAATAATGAAGTGCAATTATATGATTGCCAAGTTCATGTAAAGTTCCTACTATTTATGCAATTTTTTTCTCCATTTCCACCATCTTTTTTTTTTCTCTTGCTGTTTTTATTTGTATTGTATTTGCTTATGGCCTAATGTAAAGATATTATGTAAGCTGCTTCGTAGTGCCTCGCTTTAGAACTTCGTCTCCTCTGAAATTAAATCTGAGTTTGAGTCTGAGTTGTACCTTGGACTTATAGTCTGGTTTCCCTTTGCTTCAGATATAGCTTATAGTAGGCTTACAATTTAGCATTCTTCGTAAGTTAGACTGGATGTTGTTGAGGAAGTAGACTCAAAAGAAAATAATGCTCTGAGTCGTCTCCTTCAGCCCCTGATCCACTGAATTATTCAGAAACTCAATTTAAGATTCTGTATTTTGTGGAAGAACAAGAAATGAATGCTGGATTGTTTTCTTCTATCTTTTGAGAGGGGGATGCTCCTGTTTTGATAAGTTTTTTATGACCTATATGTGAAAAAACAATTATCAAAGCCAAACTTCCTCAGGACTAAAATACGTGATAAATGTATACAAACTTCTTAATTATCAAGTCCTAGGAATTCTCCTAGGAAGAATTATTTCATACAATCAGCCACTCCACTGGTGGCCTGCATATTATGATGTGCTTTCCTACCACTGATGCCCGTGTTGTACTGAACGAGGCCTTTTTCCACAAGCTGTGTATTGCCTTGCAGAAAGAGCCTACAGCCAGGGAATTGGGCAGCTTTTTCAGTGCAGCACTGAGTCTAGGCTGAGATGTCCTGCTTCTCATAAATCTTATCTTCTCAGTGAAGCTTATTGGCTCAGGCACAGAGCTATGTTTAAACAGTGTTGTTCTAGAAGTAGCTGTGCCAGCTCGGTGTGCATTGTAGACTGCTGCTGCTGAAGGGGAGGTCAGATGAATTACACAGGGATACATATTTTGAATCTGAGATACTCTCTCCTTGCCAAATTTCTATTCTAAGTAAAGGCTGTGTGTTTGTTCTAGATAACTTGCAGGTCTGCGAATAAAAATGTAGTTGTTTTACATGTACTGTAAGAAGTTAGCAAAATAATTCTGCAAAATTATTTTGCTTTGCATGCAAAACTTGGCCATTTTGCATTTGAGAACGTATTAAGTAATAAATCACTCTGAAATACATAACTTTCTACTGATTAATGCTTTTTTCTTCTACTAATGAGGTATTGCCAAAGGCAATATCACCTTTTCAAACAGCAAAGATTTAGATTCAAATTTTACATTTTCGTAGCAAAACAACAACCCAAAACAAATAAACCCCACAATTTTATTTCCTATCGTAAATACAAATACCATATGACTATGACAAAACAGAGTTAAATCATTGATTCTGTGATTAAAAATTGTCATTTTTTTCATGCATTTATAATTATAATGACCAAGTGCATCCCTGTATTGTCTGAATTCAGATTTTATACATCTAGTGAAATACTTGGAATTTTTTCATTTGGAATTTTAAACCACTTTTCCACCTGCACTTTAACAGTAAGAAATCTTCAATTTCCTGAGGGACATTTATAGCTTTCATACCTTTGGTGGTTCACATAATAGCATACGACTTATTGTTACTCAGCGGTAAATTGGCCTGTTTACACACAAATTGATTGCCATTTTTCTTTTTTTTTTTTCCAGATGCTAATTTTGAGATATATGTACAATAAAACAAAGAAATTCTGGTCCTGGAAAGAAGTTGAAGAAATGTTTTCTGTATGTGCTATGGTAACTGCCTTCTCTCATTTTTGATTTACAGTGCAAGACATATGCCTGCGTTTTGGAGAGCCATCTCATGGGGCTTACCATTGACTTTAGCACAGGCTTTGTCTGTTTCGACGCTGCAACAAAGGTAAAGATCTAAGACTTCTTTCCATCATGGTACTATTATTTCTTCTAATTTCGTACACTTTAAGATAAACAGTACATCCTTAAAACGTACCATTTTCTCTTTATGCTCTTGCAACAGATCATCTTGTGTCAACTCTTAACTCTCATGCTTTAGTTTAATCTTGGAGGTGATTTCTAAATGATAAGAGAATCTGTATTTTGTAATGTGCGTGTTACTGAAAACTCAGTGCCAACTTGAAACAGTATCTTCATTTTTTAATTTCATATGAAACACAGACTTATTCAGTTTGATGTTTCCTTATTGATGCATTCTATTTTTTGAAAGGAAATAATCTTAAATTCAATCTGATGTATAAGCTTTAAAAGGAACATATCTTTCTTTTCTCCTGATTGGGCGTGTGTTTCATTATGGAAACTCCCAAAATATTTTCTTAGATATCTTTGCTCAGAGATCTTCAAAGAGAGAAATATGATCATACAAGTATTTTTGGTACTTCTGCTGCCTAACTCATGCATCAGAATTGTGCAGGATCCAAAAGGGGCAGCCAGTTCATAGAATCATAGAATCACCAAGGTAGGAAAAGACCTTCAAGATCATCCAGTCCAACAATCCACCTCCCACCAGTATTTCCCCACTAAACCATGTCCCTCGGTGCTACACCTATACATTTCTTTCAGGGATCTCGTCTCATTGGGCAGCTCATTCCAGTTTCTGACCACTCTTTTGCAGAAGTTTTTCCTAGTATATAACCTGAACCTCCCTTGATGCAATTTGAGGCCATTCCTTCTTGTCCAAAGGCTAGATATTTGGGAGAAGAGGCCAACTCCCACCTTGCTGCAAATTTCTTTCAGGGAGTAATAGAGAATGATAAGGTCTCCCCTGCACCTATTTTTCTACAAACTAAATAATCCCGGTTCCCTCAGCTGCTCCTCATAAGGTTTGTGGTCCAGATTCTTCACTGGCTTCATTGCCCTCATCTGAACACACTCTAGGATCTCAATGTCTTTTTTGTAGTGGGATGCCCAAAACTGAACACAGTTCTTGAGATGTGGTGTCACGAGTGCTCAGTACAGGGGGGCGATCACCTCCCTGCTTCTGCTGGTTACACTATTTCTGATACAAGCTGGGATGTTATTGGCCTTCTTGACCACTTGGGCGCACTTCTGGCTTGTGTTCAGCTGAGCATCAACCAACATCCCTAGGTTCTTTCCCTACACACAGTCTTCCAACTACTCTGTCCCAAGCCTGTCATGGTGCTTGGAGTTGTTGTGGCCCAGCACTTGATCTCATTGGACTTCATCCCATTGGCCTCAGCCTAGAAGTCCAGCCTGTCCGGATTTCTCTAATGGGCCTTCCTAGTCCCAGGTTGACACTTTCTCCCAGCTTGGTGTCATCTGCAGACTTACTGAGCCCCTCATCCATGTCATCAATAAAGATATTAAACAGAAGAGGCCCCAGTACTGACTGCTGGGAAGCGCTACTCGTCAGCAGGACACCAGCTGGATTTAATTCCATTCATCACCAATTCAATTCAGTTCAACTGAACTATTTGTCACTGCATCTCCTGCTTTTCCAGTTAATATTAAAAATACTCAGTACAACTGGTGACAGGTAAATAATATGCCATCACTTTCTGCATTGTATTAATATGGGTCTGAATCTCAATAAAGTCTCAATAAAGGTGAGAGTGGTCTCTACTAACTGTTGAAAATGCCCTTTTCTCCAAAGAATATGCTTCTACCCTATATCTCTAGTCAGCCCTTCTGACTACGTTACCTCCATTACCTGATCAAACTCCTTTTTCTTCCCACTTCAATCTACTTTTTGCACAAGTTGAGATGAATTGAAACCCAAATTCTTGTGTAGACTCTCTTGTTGTTGTTGTTGTTAAGCAGATTATCTTTTAAGATCCATCAGTACATGATTTTCAATTTAGGAGATATTACATAAAATGTCAGTGCAATAGAATTACATAGTGGAAAAAGATTGTGTAGGTTTTCCCCCATTCACTAATAATGCTGTAGTAGTTTGCATCTCCTTCAAAGTTCTTGTACAGGTCTTGTTCTTGTAAGACTTTTGAAACCATTATTTACAGTTCATGCATACCACAAATTTAAGGTTGTGAAGTACAAGCAAAATTACATTTATAAGTACACTTTCAGGAAATGTGCTGCAGATTTGCACATACAGATAAAAAGCTTTATTAGAGATATAACTTCACTGTACTGTTTTCTCAAGCAGGTCACTGTACCTTTCCAGTTTTTCAAAGTTTCTGGAGACTTCATTGTCAAGAACAATATTACTTATAAAACAGATTCTCTTTCGTCTAATGCTTTTTAATTTTCTTTGATAGGATAAAACAGAAAAATATTTCAAATATTGAAATTGACTACTAAAACAATAAGGCAGCAATTAGCTTTGCCAATTAGTCCCCCACCAAAATACACTATAATCACCAACACTAGAAGAAGTTCAGAAAAAAAATTTAATCTACCTTTCACTTCAAGCTAGAAGATACTTGATTGGGTAGGCTGGTAACTGCCTTGTGGAAGCACTGCTTTCTTCCCTACTCAAACTAAAGCCACACCGCACAACCAAGTAGCAGAAGATCCATGATACAAGATGACTGAAATTAAGCTTTGATGATTTGATAACAGCATAAGAAAACTAAAAAGGAATGACCTCAAGTTGTATCAGGGGAGGTTCAGGTTGGATATTAGGAAGAATTTATTCTCTGAAAGAGTGGTGAGGTATTATAAAGGGCTGCCCAGGGAGGTGGAGGAGTCACTTTTCCTGAAGATGTTTAAGGAAAGGGTAGATGTTTTATTAGGGACAAGGTTTAGTGGGCAGTATTGGTGGTAGGTAAACAGTTGTACTAGATCTTAGAGGTCTTTTCCAAACATTCATGATTCTACGGTTCCAAGTCTTGCAAATTTCCGTCTTCCAGGTCGCCAAACTTGAGAAGACTCATGACTCATAAAGCCTTATAAAATCATCTGTCAATTTTACTCATTTTCCTCTCACCTTCATCTTTAAAGCCATGAAACCACATGGCGAAGCTGATGCTTCTACTGTGGCTTCCAGGCTCAGCATCCAAAAAGTTGTAAAATTTTAAGCCATGCACAATTTTAGTGGACTGTTGGGGAATCTTGAGGATCTAAACAGTGATGAAAGAAGTACACTTAAAGAACCAGCAGAATGTGTCACCAAAGCGTGTCTGAAGTTAGGTGAGAAAGGGTAATATGTTATGCATTATCTGACAAATTGTGGAGGTCCTCCTCCTTCTCTCCTGCTAGCCCTGCAGTGAATAGTCTACAAAGCATTTGTTGATCCTAGACCAGACCAGCAATCTCTGTTTATACTGTGCATTCTCTGTGCATTCACTGCACTTCCATATGGGCTGCAAGGAGAAGCAGTGGCCTTCTGCTGATCTGTCAAATCCATCATTAAGCACCTCTTATCTCATTCTAATCTCCAAAGCTCCCAACAGCACCGTAAGAAAGACTGCATGCTCTGGCAGGAGTGATTTCCCCTGAAAAAAATATTTTCTGTTTTTTGAAAGTTACTCTTATCTCCTCATTTTTCCATCTTTCACTGTCCATGTATTTCTTTGTATTTCTTGTGCTTTTGCCTGGTAAAAACATTTTGGCCTTCATGCTAGCTGGCCTTCAAGAATGGAGGGAAAAACCAATGATTGTAAAGCTCAGGCATCAATACACAAAGAATTCTAATGTTTTCAGGGTTGATTTTGTTTACCTTTGATATAGAAAAACAGGCAACCAGAATGCACAGTTTAAGATAAAGACACTGTGTTAAACATACATGTTCTGTTAGCATGCATACCAGAGAGCTGACAAATGCTAATCCATTTTCATGAGCTCCTAAATAGGAAAAGCATTACCTCCACTATTGTGATTGTGGCAGGTGTAGGTTGTGACTCATAATGTTCTTCAACAGTACTGCTATATACACATAAAATGAAACATAAACTTGAAGTGTTCAGTCACGTGAACTAGAAGTATTATTCTCTACCTAATGTTCAAAATCTCTTTGCAAATAAAGAACAGTGAAAATGAAAACAAACAAACAAAAAAAAAAAAAGGAAAGAAAAATGGAAATCAGTCTGTAGAACAAGGAAAATGAATAAAATTTAAACTAAGTTATCAATATTTTATGAATATATCAATATAAGTTTGTAAGTTAAGATTGTATGAGTGTCCTAGGAACTACCACATGAAGTAACATACTCAGGATTAAAGACAAAAATGCTTCTTGGAGTGCTGTGCTATCCATGAACAATTGCATCTACTTGTGTATAGACTGCATACATTTTTACAATTAGTATTTCAAGAAACAGTACGAACTATTATCTTTCATAAGTCACTGTAGTAGAAAAATTGTGTTCAGTCACAGATTTCATCCTTTCTAAAATAAATAGAAATTCCCCAAATAGATAGAAAATATGAATAAATTGGCTGCCAGTAGCAGTTATGATTCTTTTGCTACCTGCTCACTTCTATTATTTTTCCATTAATTCAACTTCTCCTTTTTTCGTTAGCACTGAACTTTAAGGCATATTCTATAGACTCCAGAGTTCAATGTCAAATAACTCATTCAGTCTAGCTTTTACTCATTGCAGAATAGTACTACAAATAGAAAATATTCTAAAGAAGTTGAAGGGATCTTGAACAAGTACTTGGAGGATCTAATGAATACCATTAAATAAACAAGCAACATCAGTTTTACAAAGTCTTTTAAGCTGCAAAACTTTGGATGCTATAATTGCATTAGGAGATTCTGTATAGGCATTTTTACTCTTCCACGCATCTTGGTTTTGATCATTTTTGAGAACAAGATCCTGGGATAGATAGATAGACCTTTGCTATAAACCACTATGCCGGTTGTTAACTCTCTCAAGAATAACTATCCCCAGGTTACCTCTAAATCGACGATTCCACTGTTAAATGACAACTGACATAACAGTGCTTGAAGAAATTGGA